TTTTTTTTTTTTTTTTTTTTTAGTTAACGTTCTTCACCGTATCTGTTCTGCGCGGACTCGTTTCTCCGTAATGCGCGTTCGCGCGTTCGTGATGAGGTACAATACGTACACAGTTAACAGCATGGTAAGTACAGACATCTTACAGACAACAGTTTATTTTATTTATTTATTTTATTTTTACTTTTATTTATTTATTTATTTACTTTTTTTTTTTTTGCTTTGAACGTTAAAGTTTACGCTACACGTCTCATCTACTTAACGTTTTTCAGTCTCGCGTAAAATGAAACGACATCGATGACAACGACGAAACATCATTTTCAATTTTTTTCTTCGTTATTTATACACGTATACAGCAACACATGGTTGGTACACGAACGAGAAACATGCTGGCTCGTTCAAGGCGCGAAGGAAATTGTTCACGCGTTGTTCTTCGTTCGGGAGAGACGACGTTGAAATCAGAAGATAAAAAAACTGGATCTACGAAACTGGAAGACGACGTAAACTCGTAACAAATCGCGTATTGCTCGCTTGGGATATGCACTCGATAGTAGAATGGAAAATTTGTTTCTTTTGTTCGTGGATGTTTTTTGCGTGGATGTGGTCTCAATGATAGGACGATTCGCGCGTTCGACGACAGTACTTTTTAATTTTAATTACGAATCGAGTCTTCGATTAATTATGATAATAGGAGTGTTCGTCACAACAGGGAAATAAAAAGAACTCCCCTGTGAATCGCTTACGGTTAGAGCACGCACTTTTGTGGCAGTCGTCGTGTGAAATAGACTCAAACGGACGTATCGATCGAACTCGAGCAATCACGTGTAGAATAATCGTGTTCGATAACCTGCGAAAATTCGCCTGATTTAGTAGAGAACGCGTTCAAAAAGTCTTTCGTAGGATAGATTTTCTCTGGAACGAAATTGGCAGTTTGTTTAGGAAGCAGTTCAGATTCGCGCGATTCACACTCCCGGAGTCAAACGAGAAACACTGAAAAATCGAACGAATGGTCTTTAGCCTTGTGGTCGTAGGTCCTCGGGAATACAAACCGAATGGCAGTTTGAAGAACACATGATCGAGTTCAGTACGTTCGTTTGTTTGTTTTTTTTCTTTTCTCTTTTGTTACAGGATACGATTGACACTTTCCCATCGACATAGGCCAGGAACACGAACAGGGAGCACATGATCAGTGGCCGCTGTGCTCAACAGCGGCCAATGATAATTAACGAAAGACGGACCACGATGGTGTTTCTTTACATCGAGATAGTTAAAATGGGGTTTCGTTTTGTTTCTCTTTCCTCGCTGGTTTCAGCATCGTGGAGGTTCACCGTGGAGGTTCTACATTCTCACATTTTTCTTTCTTTCTTTCTTTCTTTTTTTTTTTTTTTTCTTTTTATTTACACCGCGATTACGAAGTCACGGACGTTTCGTTGGCTGCTGTGGCCACGATCGAGGTCGCACTCGGCCTCGCTTAGCTCAAACGCGTCGGAGAAGCCCGTGGGTGGGTCCAGCTTGGGGACGAACAGGTTCCCTGATCCGTCACGCTCCTGGTCCCGATTGGAACAGGAATTGCTCGACTGGTGCTTGGAATTGCCAAACCCGGTGATTGCGCCGAAGTTGGAACGGGTCTCCTCGCTGGTATGACGCGCCAACTGTAACATCCTTCGACAAGAAACAATCAAATATTTCGATTATTCTCCCCTTTAAATCTTTCCTCCGCTGATAATTCAGAGAACAGAGAGAGAGAAAGAGAGAGAGAGAGAGAAGATGTAGATGACTTACTTGGATCTTCCCCTTCCAGGAAACGATTTTCTCTCAAAAATCGGTGAGGGTTCTGTAGACGTGCTAGATTCTGGTCCATGGTACAGGAAGTCTGGAAAAAAACAGAGAACGCAACGATTTTCCACGATGAACAGACACGAGAGAACGAGGTATTGCGTTCGCTGGGAATACCTCCAACAGCCCCCTGATTCCGTTCCAACGTTTCACGACAACAAACAAGCGTGAAATGCTCGGTCACGTGTTTCGGTGCACTCTAATAGACGTATATAAATATATAGACAGGCAACGGGAACGGACTTCCGGCGGTACCGCGGTGCATGGAAATATTAGGCAACACTTCTCTCCTTTCGTTTCCCTTTTCTTCTTTCTTTTCTCTTTTATTAACAACATGGCAAATGGAACGAGAACCGCGGCCCTCTTTTTTAACTAACAACAGAAGATCAAACTGAATCAAACTGGATCAAGATCAAAGAGAAAAAGAGGAAGAAAAAGAAAAGAGAGAGAGATAGAGACAGAAAGAGAGAGAGAGAGAGAGAGAGAGAGAGAGAAAGAGAAAGAGAAAGGATGAAACAAGGCCGTAAACCGAATAGAAGGATGAAAGTATTGCATACTGTGGACACGCGAGTCGGCCGCAGACACCGAGTGGTGCGAATCGACGAGGTGATTGGAAGACTCGGTTCGGCTGCTGGTCCCGACTTCCGTGTCGCTATCCGAGCCCAGGGTGTCGTATTCCTCCGACTCGGACTTGCCCTGACTGACCTTGTGCGTTTTGTGCAACGGCGCAGAGGACGAACGGCCTCCGCGCACCTTAGTGTACCGGTTGCAATCCGACTGCAATCAGACGGAATTGGTTTTCGATGAATTGGCACACTCGCACGAGGAAACGAGGAGACGCGCTACACCGATCTATCGCGAATCGTTCGACTCGCGAATCCCAACGTCGCGGATCGTTTTCTTTTCTTTTTTTCTTTTTCTTTTTTTTTTTTTTTTTTATTTAGCGGCGTTCGTGCTAGCGGCTAGCCTAGAAGACTCTCTGGATCAGAGCTACCGATTTTCGACGTACCGTCGGTGGAACGATGGGAATCCGCTTATACAAATCTGTCAGGAGACAAGCAGTTTTTGTGCGGTTAAAATCGTTTTTTTTTTTTCTCTCTCATGCCGATTTCTCTTGCTACCCGTGACTTTCGCTCAAGCGGATTTAATTAGCGGGAGTTCGTTTAATCGGGTGGTAATTAAAATTTCGTTCAAATAAGTGAAGTTCGTATAAACGGAGTTTGTATTGTACAGCGAGGTCATAAAACACGTCGAGCTTCAACGTTTGAGATTGCATGTACAAGGAGATAAGAAACTCGAGATCCTGTTCAGAACCGTATACCGGTTGGTCTCTTCTTTTGTAATGCCTGAGAAACTTTAAGAAGTTGTGTACACAAGTTGACAAATTCGGAGGTTACATACACAACTTTCCACTTTTCACGGAACTCGTAAATGACTTTACGAGATTGCAAGATATATTTGAGAGTGAAGATGCTTTCCCAAGATGTATACGGCTCTGAATCCAACTATATTAATTCCAGATTAATACTTTAATTTATGACCTCACGTACGTACGTATCTCTTCCACCAAGTATACGCGTTCTATGCACTAAATGATTCATCGTTATCGAAGATGGAGCATTCAATTGATGTTAATGGATACTGATGGATATTTATGATCTATCGTGTCTTTATCGTGCCTTGCAATGTGCACTCTTTGGAAACTCATCGATTTGATCGATTTACCATTGATTTTCCAGTCTTTACGA